AATCTTATTCAATCTCATTGACACTGCATAGGCTTTTCAATTGCACAAGTGGCATGAAATACTGCATTCATGTTTGTTTGATTGTTCAAGCTCACTCTTCCTATCAGGTGGCTTGGCAAAGTTACTTTGGAAACCTATATTTCCCAGTTCCACATCTGGCTAAGGTGAGTGCCCTTTATTTTTCCTATTTCAGGTGTTTGGTTTTAAATTTTAGTTATTGAAATGATTTGGTCTCTATCTCTTGCATTAATCAAGGACATTCATTGTTTTCAACGAATACTTGTGTTGACGTCAAAAATTATATGAACAAGATTCAAGCCAACTTAAAATATAAATAAGAACTTTATTGATAATGATTTGCAAATTATTATTGTAACAACAAGTGATTGCTCTTTTTTTTCTCAAGGAGATATTTGAAATAGGAAGTGTGTAGAGCTTTTTTCTCCTCCTTTCCCAAGACTCTCATCCTTCCTTTTATAGGGAAGGGTTAGCATGCATCCTTCATTTCCTTGTCTTATCAGCTACAGTACCAAGTTGAGAAAGTACATCATTGGCATGTTTGGATTGGTTACTGAGTTCGGCTCTATCAGGTCATTATAAGTTAACCTTACATGTGGCCTCCAGCAATTAATGAACTAACTAGGAGATGAAGCTAAGACATTTGATTGGTGGAATTGGTGAGCGCCGATGTAAGACCTTCCGAATGTCAATTGTTGATTGTCTATTTGTCATATGTAAGGAATCTTTAATTATTATGTGCCCTCGAACTTCAGCAATAACTAATCCGAGTTGATCTCAAAATATCCGAGCTTAAATTAGCATGGGCTTAATGCATACAACAAATTGTACTCGACGACCTCGGATGTCGGATGTCAACAACTTGCAATCGATCCATGTATACCTATGGCCTCCATTTGGGAAGAATTTATAAATTGTTTAATTTATAAAGACATAGAAATGAGTGGTTGATAAGTGGATTGTACTTGTGGATTTACTAGAATGTGTGGCTAAAATTAAAGTTGAACCATTTATAAATGATTTACATCT